TCCGGCCCGCGGGCCGTATGTTTGACACCTCTGGTCTAGAGCATGGGTGTCAAACTCATTTTTGTCACGGGCCAGATTTTAGTAAGTTTCCCTTGGAGTGCCGTTATGACTGAAACCATATAAAAAGTCAAGAATAACGGTTTATTCACCTATTGTTTAAGATACTGTAATGAGGGGTTTGATAACAAGAAAATGCTTACAGTATCACTATTATTTATTACAAATGAGAATTAGAAATTTTGGTAGCGATTTAGGAAACAACATGAAGTTGACATCTTTGATTTGCTTTCGCGGGCCACATAAAATGATGTGACAGGCCATATCTGGCCCCCGGGCCTTGAGTTTGACACCTGTGGTCTCGAGGAAATAAACAATTGGATGAACCAAAACAAAATTGAGGTACAGTAATTATTTTTGGCAATAAAGAACATATGATTTGTCATAGAAAACACCTGGAGTCACTATCTATCGAAACCAAAGACCAAGTCCAAAATCTTGGCATGCTGATCGACTCGACCTGACTTTCAGAAATCATATTCAATCAAGCGTTAAAACAGCCTTTTGCCAGCTGCAAAACATATCCAGACTGAAGGTTTTCATGTTTAAAGCAGACTAGGAGAAATGTATTCAAGCTTTGGATTGATAAATCTTGAGATTTCCTCTCAGATATATGCATTCTTTAACAGGTAAATGAACAAATGGTGTTTGCTGCAGCTGAGTAAATAAACTCCCTGCTTCACTATTGGAGCAAATATAGTGATGCAGTTAATTAATCAAAGTTGGTACCATGAACATGTGTGTGTCTCTCCAGAGAGGGAAACCAGGCATTCCGGGAGACCATGGCAGTATTGGAGAACCATCCATGTGTCAGAGGGCTGTCCTTTACATCATTCCTCATTCTTCCTTTTCAGAGGATTACAAGACTCAAGTTGCTTGTTCAAGTGAGTATACCGACTCGACTTATAGTCACCATGATGGTTTTGAAGTCTTTGAAATGTATCATTGGTCCTTTTTTGTTCACCGGCTTCTCTCACACAGAATATCCTGAAAAATGCTGAAGAACACTCTGAGAGGGAAGCAAATGCCATTAAAGCTCATCAGCGGCTGGAGCAGGTAAGTTAAAAACCTCAGCAATGAACCCAAAGGCATTGAGTGAGTGGTTGCATAATGACATTACTGTAATTAACGGACTATTTATTCATAAGACCCCCAAAACATCGCACGTTAATATAACTTAAACAACTTCCAAATATCAAGGGACATGATAAAAGGTTATTAGACATAAACGTATTAGAGTATTTAACTTTTCATTATTTTATTACGCTTACGTGACAATGCTAGCAAACATAATTTGGAGTAAAAGTAAGGGAAATAATCAGACAGAAAACTCACAATCATGATTATCTCTAACAATCACACAAAGTGCATTTTTTTTCTGTCAGACTAAGACCGTTGACTAACATATTAACATTTTTTTAATTGATCTGGAATATTTCCTGTATGTGTGTCTCTCCTACAGATTGTGAAAGAGTGTAACGAGGGTGTGCGAAAAATGAGTCGCACAGAGGAGCTAATCAGCATTGAAAAGACTTTAGAGTTTAAATCCAAGGTAAGGAACTGCACCATCAGTTTGGCATTTTAACCGCACAACTGCACATGGGCCTCGGAAGTGGGGCTTGCTCGGAGGAGTAGATCACTCTCCAATGGATCCAAGCTCAGCTGAGTTTCTGTGATGCAGGCCTGCTATGCAGAAGCATGTACTGTATAGAGTAAACCTTGCTTTCTTCCTTTGTAGTCTGTGCCCATCATCTCCCACTCCCGCTGGTTGCTCAAGAAGGGTGAGGTGCAACTCATGGCCGGACCAAAGAGCACCAGGACATTGCGAAGCCGTAAACTTTACCAGCCCGTCTTCTTGTTTCTGTTTAACAACCTGCTGCTGATCACCAAGCGTAGCTCGAGGTAAGCATCCTTTAAATCATTCTCACTTGAAATGTAATCAGTCAGTCTCGGTCCTGTACACAATGGCAATGTCTTTGCAGCGGGGACAAGTTTCAGGTTCTTGACTCCTGCACACGGGCTATGCTGAGGACTGAAGATTTAGAGGACCAGGGCCAGATGCTAGCCTATGTCTTTAATCTTAAATTGCTGGAAAACCAAGAGGACCGGCCGGTCAGCTACATGCTCAAGACCTCAAGCATGTAAGTTTGGGAATCACATTTTGGAAAGTTAACCCACTATACTAAAAATGACAGACACGGAAATAGGCAGGTAACAAAATATTCGCATAATTGTGTCATTTCTCACTTGATGGGTAGGCAGGCACTGTAAACACACAAACATTTTCAAAACAACGAATACCTACAATGAGGGTCTGAGACATTTTTAGGTCGGCAGCAGTTATGAGATGCAGCTCATTCAATGACGGTAATCGCTTACGTTGTCCATTGGCAAACGGGCAAAGGGTAGTGACAATCTCAGGTCATGCATGGATCATGCTTCCTTTTCCACACTGTGATGTCTGGGCGGAGCTCCGTGGTGGCCGGGAATGGTCATGGCCACTTTCTGGACAACCCATGGCCACCGCACATCAAGATATTTTTTGCCTCTGACTTTTTCACATGAATGCAATATTCTTTCATCCTTTGATACTCTGCTACAATTCATTTCCTTTAACTGAATATTTGAATTAATTTACAATTGTTGTGAACATAAACTCCAAAGGGAAACATTTGAATCTTGCAGTTACAATAAACCACAAATAGTTTTTTTTACGCCATAGCAAGCAAACAACATGGCTGAGAAGTCATTGTTTTTCATACCATCCACAGTCATGGTTTCATGAAGCAAAATGCACACAAAAACCAATCTTGCATAATACAAACAGGAAGAAACTTTAGTAAAAAGCAACATTTAGAGTTTTGAAGAATTGAGAGAGTTGTATCGTTGTGCCTTTTACATATGATTAAAAACTCAAAAAAGACCTAGGTACATAATGTTGAGTTGGTACCACTGTGAGAGCAGGAATCGATTGGCACCTGTATGCAGGTCTGACTGGCTTTTAAACTTTAGTTAATTACAGATGGTTTGCAGGCGTGAGTGAGTGCCCTTCAAAGAATGCCCCTCCCAGCCTGAAGCACAAAAGTAACCACAACAAGCAAAATGCAACAGGAACTAGGCCCGCCAAAATAAAGCCCATGTACAAAAACCCACAAGACAAATGCTCAACAATGACTTGTCATTTTCAGAAGGAGGACACATGCGCGCGCTGATGTCCACCTCTAAGTGATATGTTGCCACCCTGGCCACCCTACTGAAAAATTTCGGTTCACGCCCCTGGGAGATGTCTCCATAATGCACCGTCAAGCATCACGCGCCCCATTTAAAGTTAATGAGAGGAGTTGCTTGGATTGGTGGCTGTGTTCACACCTACAATGGCAACACCTGGCCTCTGTGCAGATTTAGAATTTGCATCAAGCTGGGCTTGCGGCAATCCTGAAAAAAGAGCCATTTGACTTTAATATCATAATATTGTTTGACTTTGACTTGACTTTAACTTGATAAATACTGTTTTATAAGATTACAATCTGATGCCCTGACTAACTACCTATTTGGCCTTGTCAAGATTATGGGTTCTGTTTTTGTGCCAGAGGTGTGGTGCATATCAGCACATGGGCGGCCTCGTTTAGGTTTTTGTATTTTCACAAGCCAGTGCAGTGTGGGTGCATTTTAAAAAGGGCGTTGTGCGCCATTGTGGGCATGAACACAACCGACTTGTTTCACTGCCGATCGAAGCAACTCCTCTCTCCCCTTTAAATGCCAAGTGCAAGCCGGATGTCGCACAGACAATCCTTAAAATGGCGGAAGAAGACACGGATTTGCTTGAGTTTTGTGGCAGGTTGACACGTGCAAAGCACCTCTTTAAGGAGCTGCAAGCAGACCTCCACAGGCGGATGATGCAAAGTTGCTCAGGGAGAGCACGGATCTGTTCAGTGGTCACTTTGACACCGCTTTCCTCTTGGATCATACGCGTCCGTGTGTGACCCCACCTGCACCTCATGCTGCCTTCCATAGACGTGCCAGTAGGAAGATTTTTAACAATATATAATAAACATGACAAGAATAACTTGGAGACTGCCTTACACCCTAATTGTCTGTGTCTGAGGAGCTCAGAATCTGTCTGCCTGCACCTCTATCAAATTCCCCTAAACCACGTTACACTCCCTGCACCAAAACTTAGACCAGCGGGTGCAGAGTTTAGCCAAATGCATGTCATAGGAATCACCCCGGGTACAACGGAACACCCAGCAAGGCACAGAGAGGTGAACCATATTCCCAAACAAGCGCATTGAGGCTTGCGTTGGCATGAAAATCAAGATACGCCAATGTTTATGCTCCAGCGCACCTGCGCTGTGTATGAATATGGAGCCCTATGAGTGTACTGCATTGTCATAATTTTCTAAAGTTTGTTTCGAAAAAAATGTGAATTTGTTATCACAATCACAATGTAATTCCTGGACTCAGAAAGTTTGAGTATATCGAACATACTACTGTCAACCATGTTAATATATTATTATATAACATTTATTTTTCAGTCATTAATTTCTCTTCATACAGTCTAGATGAGGATTTTTTTTCCCTAAGTTTTTACTAGCTCGGATAAGGGTACACCTCCTCTACAACCACACTGAGGACAAGAACAGTTCCAATAAATCATTAAATGCCCCAAATCAATATGACATTCCAGCCCATGGTTTCATTTTTGACCACTACTGTAGCTGTCGAGTAGATGTCATGAAACTAAGTAACGAGTGCTGGTGCTAATCAATGGAATCTTGTGGACAGGAGTGATAAGCTTCGATGGATCTGTGCGCTGACTCCAAACCCGCGCACCCGTTTCATGTCGACCAGCGCACACCAATCAGGTGAGATTTCGAATGACATAATCACTTAATATGCTAATATGATCCGATTAATGCTGTCGTTTCTGGTGTGAATTTAGACTCTTTGCAAGTGCAGTGTATTCAGTCCTACTCCTCCCAGGAGCCCGATGAACTCTCCATTGAGATGGCCGACGTTTTGAATCTCTTGGAGAGAACAGATGACGGTGCGTGACCCTACATCACCGTCGCAGCTGTTCAGTGTTCCGATTAGTCAACATGCATCGTTTTTGGGTTGCAGGCTGGATGATGGGGGAAAGGCTCCACGACGGTGAAAGAGGATGGTTCCCAAGTCGATTAGTGGAGGAGATCCAGAGTCAGGAGGTGCGAGCTCAGAACCTGAGAGAAGCATTCAAAGTTCATCACGCTCAAGAGGGAGCCGGAGCCCTGCAAAGTGGAGCAAGGATTGGCTCAAGAGGGGGGAGACCCACGCCAAAAGTCTCGAACCTCTTCAGTTTGTGGAATGATCCCATGGGAAGGAAATAAATCAGAGCGCCTGAAGAAGATGCATGTGCAAAAGCACATGCATCTTGTGCATGTGAAAAGCACAGCATGCATCGAGTCTTCGGTCGATCTTGAACTATGGGCAGATGACTTTTAAGCTTCACTGTCTTGCTGTCAGTCGCCTCTTTTACACCGAGATCGCATAAAATTGACGCATCAGAGCCATAACAGAAGAGCAGGCATTTATCCACCTTTGCTTTTTATGCAGAAACCATTCAAGGTGAGGCACTGCCGCGAGTGTGTACAGTTTCATACAGCCAAAGGCTTCCCACAATCAAATCATTAGATGACATCGGCGCCAGCATTTGATGTCAAGTGAAGAGTTAGACACCAACAGGTGCTTCCAACACAACAGGGAGGAAGCAGCAAGGTAGTTAGCACCTATGCTACACATTAAATTATAAATATAGATAAGTATTGTTATAAAACAGTATATATGTATATTAGGGGTGTTCATTGACGATGCATTTTAAACTGGAATGATTTGATCCAGTTAGAAGTACAGCTCCCTTTGAGAGGATGACGCAATGAGTTTTATTATTTTACAATATAAATGAACTTCAGCAATACTGTAAATGTGGACCTCAAAGACATCGATCTCCAATGAAAAGCATTTCAATATATTGAAGTGGAACAATTCGAAGCGCTCACATTTTTTAAAATTAAAACCAATTTTCTGCTTCAAATCATATATTTGTTACAGCGCTAGCATGTACACAGTGTATATTATATTTATATGGCATGGCGGTGGTGCGGAGGTTGGCTGGGTTTCACTAGCTTAAAACTAGACTTGACATGATCAGGATTTTTGGGGCCAATCACTGATCACAAGATGAAGCAATATTCCAGTAAATAACTTGTGTATTTACTTCATATACTTGTGTAATGTTTACGGAGTATTAACAAAAGTATTCTCGAGCATGTGTGGCTATTTTCAACAATCTTTTCCTTCCCCCAAGGAATAGAAGTGGTGGTGGGGGAGGGGGGTGGAATATGAATCGTCTCTTCGTTAAAAAATGAGCAGAATTTATAGTGAGAATACAGCTGCTTTCAAAACATGCTAGACCTAAAATTACAGCTATCGAATGTAGTCATGAAAACTAGTTGCCGAACTCTGCACACTGTGCAAGAGTTCGATTGTGTTTGGCTGCAACGCTCGGTTTGTAGCGGGCCTTACACACAGGCTTCTGTTGTGGCTCTGATACTACCTTCCAAATATAGAATTGTCAAGATGACATTGTCCCCCGTCCTTCCATCTCGGTGCCTTTTATACTCTGAAAACTAAGGTCTTCTACAGGCAGTGTAAAAGGGGCTCGTGATTCCAGACCAGTCAAAACAACTCAAGCAATGTTGCATGGCTCATGAATGTGCAATCAAGGTTTTTTTTCTTTGTTGTTGTTTTGTGCCCAGTGCACTTAATGTGGTGTGTAATTAATGAAGAATCTACGTTTGATAAAGAACCTGTTTGAGGGTGCAATGGCCGATACCCCCAAATTTTGTTGCCATTAATTTATTGTGAAGATACTGTAAACATCCTTCAGATGCATGGGCAGGGTTTAACTATTTGATTGTGTTCATTCATTTCATTTTAAAAATGCATAGTAAATGTTATGAAAAGCACCAATGATTACCCGAGTGTCTGTCTATGACTGCTGAAAAGAGTGAGTCTGCAAAATTTTGGTTCAATGACTCCCTGACCACAATTTGGTTCGTCTCCCCATAAATTCCTTGTGGGATGAAAATATACAAAATTTATGACCTAAAACATTTGTATGCGGAAAAAGACACATAAATATCCAGACGATAGATTCATGTTTAATTAAATTTAGGCTGTAAATTTGTATAATTTAATGTGAAGTGTGGAACAGCATGGTTGTAAAGCCTGTATGTTTCTATTCATGTACATAACTGACAACATTCAAATGAAAATGAGAACGTAATTGATCATTTGTTTCTTTAATATACGTATCGCTATATGATTGTTGATAAAAAAAAAAAAAAAAAGGAGAAAAAACACAATCTTCAGAGATTTGCTCATTGTGATTTCTTCGAGTGTTGTGTTGCTCTAAACACAAACTGGAATTGATAAAGAAGAAAGCTAAGGAGGAGGTAATAACATCCTTACGATTCTTTTGTTTCTGATTTATATTTTCTGTATATTGCTTGCTCTCGATTCTCATTCAGTGTCGCTTTGTGATTGAAGTGAGTGGGACAGACATGGTCAGTTCTACACCCTGGACTGGTTTCCAGTCAATCACAGGGCACACAGACTAAGTTCAACTCACATTGCATGCATGGAAGTCAGGTGACTCCATTTCTTAATTTATTATAGGCTCCAGCGAAGCTGCGACCCTTGTGAGGATTAGCAGTGCAAAAAAAAAAAAAAGGATGGATTAATAGACATTCCAGTTCAGTGTAAAACACAACAAATATTTTGGTAGTAAGGTGGGCCCCCGCATATTGTGATTCCGCACCCGCGGATTCACCTAATCGTGGATTTCACCCCGAATCCCCACAAGATTTTAAAAAATCAATTGTGTGTGTGTGTGTGTGTGTGTGTGTGTGTGTTTTGGGGTGGAGCCAACATTCATCAGGGAAAATGCATATTGGACATATATCAGTAGTTACATTTGTTATGGATTTATTTTTTTCCTAATACATACGCTAAAATGTACTTTTTGAGAAAATTGATTGGAGCAATAACACCATGCAAAGTTATCTATTGTAGATCAGCTGCCAGTTTTTTTTAGAGGTGCACTGTACCAAATCCTTTACTGTGGTCCTCATGCACTATAAAAACAGTTGGGTCCCAAAGAAAAAAAAAAGTATCAAAAAATGAACTGAGCCTCAATTTACAAATCAACTCAAAAACATGGTAGAAGGTTAGTCCATTTGATTGATTTTAGAACCAACTGTTTTAAAGGTGACGGGAGAATAATTATGATATTTTTCACATTTAGTTCTTTGCATCACAGGTTTAATCTGGTAACATTCATATGGAGATGACACTACCCCAGAGCTAGGAGATGCTAGCCTTGTCAGAAATCTGTGTAGCCTCGTTTAAGCCCCTCCATCATTTTATTTTAGATTCTAAAATACAGGAGTCAAACTCGATGCCTGGGGGCCCGATCCAGCCCGCGTCACCATTTTATGTGGCCCGGTAAGGCAAATCATGTATGTTGTCTTCATGATTCTTCCACTTTTAACAACAGAGATGTGAGATATTGCAAGTATTTTTGTTAGCCATCCCTCCTTTAAAATTAATTTAAAAATTGTTGAACAAACAATTACGAAGTATTTACAAGCTTCTGATTTCAAAACTAGTCATTCATCAATTTGTTGTGATTTTAGAAGACAATCATACATTTATATTACAGGTGTCAAAATCAAAATATTTGTACTTTTTTTTTTGAGTATCTTAAATATATTTGAACATTTTTTTTCAGTTCCCATATGCATCGGTTAAGCACCTCTTTTGACCCAGTGGGGAAAAACTCCTGGAGTCGTACCTTCATATATACTCTTTTATTTTAACTGATTAATAAAGGTTCTAAATAAAAGTATTTGTTTATGGGCAGTAGCTTTGCTGCTCATCATTTAAATTGGTGCTTGTCACACACGGTATGTCAAACATTCCATTACATATTAGATAGGACGCTGACACCTGTTTATTAGGGAATTTTTACTGCATTGAAGACATGCCTATGCCTGAACAATTTGTATCATGTAAAACACAGAAATAGTCTGTGTACTTTGACTAAGAGCCAATTTTTTTACTGTGTTACTGCAAAGAGCCACATCATACACATGGGCAGACATAAACATCACCAAATCCCTTCCTCACACACACACACACACACACACACACACACACACACACACACACACACACACACACACACACACACACACACGCACACATGCACACACACGTACACGCACTTGGGGTTGGCCACCCCTGGGTTACTGGGTGCATGAAAGGGTTAATAAAACATCAAGTGTGACACATTAATCTACACTAGTAGAATGTGGTGAATAATTTGAAACATTCCATTGGAGTAGTCAGATCATTGTTTATTAGATTCTCAATTATTTAATATTGATTGTGCAGTCGAGCTTAAAAAATAATAAAAAAAAAAAGAATGAAAACAGAAAAGACCAGTTTGAGTAAAAAAAAAAAGTCTTCATAACAAATACAATATTTTTGTCGTTGTTCATCGTGCTCCTTTTAACATGCAGTCCAGATGCAAGTTTTCCACATTGATCATGAAAGTTAGCACCAAACATGATTGCATGTTGTCCTGGTATAACTGGATGTCATGCGGGCACAAAAAATAAAAGGACACTCATTTATCTTAAATACTCAGATGTTAGTCCATAAAAGCAATCAAGACAATAGTATAAAAAACCCGAAATGGATGTTGTATTTTGATTGAAAGGATTTTTAGATCGCATTTTGTAAGTAGAATATAAAATTTGAGAATACTAAATTAATTTACAGCTATAGAAAACAGTCCATCTAGCGTAAGGGATTATTTGATTCCTACAGTCATTTGAGCTCAAATATGTTTCGAAACAGACTGAAATATTATTGTGTAAATTGTATTTGTCATGGGGAGGCTTGACTTGTATCCCCCGAGTGAGTGGAAACGAGCACTGTGCATACCTAGCATGATGTTAAATATCTCTTTGTGCTCTGTTCGGGGGACTCTTATTAAACTAAAAATGTGTTTGAAAACAGAAGAATAATCCTGCTGGTGTATTGAGGTAATACAAGTTCATCCAACAGAGTTGAGTATTTCAGGAAGTATTTCAGCAGCGATGTGTGCAGTTTGAAAATGAAAACAAAAAACAAAAAAAGTCAACGTAAGAGAGGTTATTTCAGGTTATGAGAGTAATGGCCTGGTCTGGAATGGCAACAGTACAAACCTTCTGTAAAGCAAGCTACCGCTCGGCCTTTATCTTATAGCGGAGAACAAGGTAGGTGGCCAGTCGCAGGATGAGAAAGAAAACGCCCAGGACGATGAAGTCAATATAGAGCTTAGCATCTTCTACGTCCAACAGCTGAAGAACCTCCTCGGGCTGTTGGAAGCGACATGCTTTCCCGGGACACTCCAGCTCGGAACGATTCATCCCATAGATGGACAGAATTACTCCTTCAAAACCATACCTGCAGGGATGTATAAACACATGAAACATCTTCTGGGTAAACTCATTGCTAAATTTTGTTCACTACTTATTCATTCTCAGTCCAAAGTCGTAGAGGTCAGGGTTTTTTGTCATCCACACAAAGAAGTCCTTTATTGATTGATTTATTTTTTGGGGATCATAGTGGCCATTCATTTATATGGTATGGAAATGGTACACGAAACAATTTCTCACTATAATTAGGAAAATTTCATTCATTCATTCATTTTCCGATTTTTGTGGGGGGTGCTGGAGCCTATCCCAGCTGTCTTCGGGCAGTAGGCAGGGAACACCCTGAACCGGTTGCCAGCCAATCACAGGGCACACAGAGACGAACCACCTATCGCGCTCACACTCACACCTACGGACAATTTTGAAAGTTCAATCAGCCTGCCATCAGTGTTGTGTCCAAGGACCGGCAACCCGAGGCCAAGGCCAAGGCCAAGGACTTGCCTCCGAGGCCAAGGCCAAAGCCAAGGTCTTGGAAAATTTTCTCAAGTCCAAGGCCAAGGCCAAGGACTTGAGAAATTTTCCGAGGCCAAGGCCAAGGACCAAGGACTTGCTTCCGAGGCCAAGGCCAAGGACCAAGGACTGATTTTGAAACTGAGGCCTAGCCGAGGACATGTATAAATCAATGCTATCATACCAC